CCTCCATTCTAGAAGTACAGCTGCTCTGTCCCTGAGTTCCCTAAACGAACCCAACAACCTCGACAGCCTGACCACAGCTAGCGAGAAGTCCCGCGCTCAAAGCTTTCACCTGTGCGCAGCGATTAGCACATGTCCATTAGTTCAGCTCCTCTGGCAAAGGAGAAGGGGAGGGGGGCCTGACTCTCAGCAGAAACAGCATTTGAATTATCATGTAAGCCATTTCACTTCTTGTGGTATTTATGGAGGTTAGAGACACCATATAGTATAATGTTAAAGTGAGATAAACATATCTGTAGAGGGCTGTGCGCTCAGTATTTATTTACTCACTACACATAAGATATTTCTCATTGCCTTGAGCTATAAACAGTAATGAAATTTCAAAGCTAGAATTTACCAATATACACACACACATTTTTTTTCTTTTGAACTCTTTCACTTACTCTGTGTGTTTGCTTTTCCACATTGAGATATTCCCTAGGCCCTGACTAAAATCTCTATTATTATACAGAGTTACTTTACAAATACCCTGAATTCCAAAAGCACACATGACTGTGCTTAATGGAAAGCTGCCTGCCAGCAAAGGGATCCCAGTACTGCTGAACACTGAGGTGTATGCTGAAGATCCACCAATAAAGACAAGTCAGGAGAAACCCTTCTCTGTTTTCCATTGGTTTCAACAAGGGTCATCTTTGCAGTTCACTAACTACACTGCTCAACAAGATGGCCAAAGCCTTCCCAACATCTAGGACACTGAGTGAAGCATAATTAGTGGACTGCAAACCATCTGCTAAGAGCAGAACTGTGCTGGTATGCTCATGCTGCTAACTTTGCAAGAGGATCCTTTAATTATTCTCTGGCCTAAGTGTTTAGAAAATGCTCTTCTGACTGTAAACAGTGTTATCTGAGACATATGGATAGTAAAAGGCTGGGTAACATATGAAATACAGATAATTTCTCATAATATGCCCTAATCAGGGCACTGGTACAAACACAGGGACTGAGGTTCCCTGACTCAAGGGTTTACAGTCTGAAAGGGACAAAACCAGTAAGTAACTAAGCAGTGTGGCCAAGATGAGGGTGTGCTAGTCCTCTGTAAACTTCTGCTGGGCTTCCCTAGGCATGGCTTTCTCTTCTCTGTAGAGAAGTTCCAAATGATGTCTCTGCTCATGATG